AGCATTTGACAACTATTAAGGAATAGAAGTTATGTCTACATTGCGTTTTACTATGTTGTGTCTCCAGTTTCTAGGTGTTACCGCCTAGGTTATTATTCGAACTAAGCTTAAGTAGGTGTTTAAGAGGATGTCCAGAAGTGTTAAGAATACTATAAGCCATTAATAAATCACCTCTAAGACGCCTATATACTATAATGGGTAAAGGTCTAGTGAATGGAGGCGTTCTTCGTAAGGTTTAGATTTGAGTCCTCGAACTGATTTCGTGGCTCGCCGTTGGATACGCTCTAAAGTGACCTTGTCCTTTTGGAGTGAGGGGGGAGTACTATGTTTCCGTATTCTAAATGGGGACGGATGAAACTATTGAAGATTGTATGGAAAGTTCTTTCGTCGAACTGTCCAAAAATGCACTTCAACGTTACCAGTGCAAGGTTTGCTCGGAAGGCATTTTTGTCACAGTTAGCGTAAGACTTCAAATCATGGGGCATCAGGACTCCTAAATCTTTTTCGACTTGGGATACTACTAGAGAGGAGTTTCCTAAGTTGTAACTGTAGTTTGCGACATGTCGCAGATGGACTACTTTACACTTTGAAGTGTTAAAGGTAAGTCCGTTATCGTCTGCCGAACTTTGAAGTCGAGTCAGATCCTCCTGAAGTGCCTGTATATCGTCTTGGTTGCGTATCTCTCTCCAAAGTTTCATGTCGTCGGCAAAAGCAATAAGTCTGACGTTACCTGTTGAGGAAGATCATTTATGTAGATCAAGAAGAGAAGAGGCCCTAGTACTGAGCCCTGGGGGACCCCACTAGGACATTCCATAGCCTGAGATAAAGTGAAATTAACTCTAACCTTAAAGTGTCGATTTTTTAGGTATGAAGTAAGCCAATCGATTAGAGGTGGTCTGATACCTAGTCGTTTGAGCTTATTGATAAGACATAAATGGTTAAACTTATCAAAAGCTTTTGGGAAATCTGGGTAGATGATGTCGACCTTTCCCTTGCGATCGAGGATGCTTGTCCATTTGCCCACCGCAGTCAGCAGGTTGGTTATACAAGATTGGGCCTTCCCGAAACCATGCTGTTGGGATGAAAGAAATTCAAGGACAGTAGATAGTCTTTTAAACGGTCGCATATCAGGGACTCCGTGAGTTTTGAAGGTAATGACAGAAGAGCCACCGGCCGATAATTTGAAGATTCATTGCGTCGACCACCTTTGAAAATTGGTTTGATGTGAGCCAACTTCCAATTTTCCGGTAATTTGCCTCGGCTTAGCGAGTGTGAAAACATCACTCTAAGCGGCGTTGCCAGGATTGAGGCTGCTTCCCTCAGTATGGCAGGATGAACCTAATCTGGGCCAGGAGAAGTATCTAGTCTTAAGTGCCGCAGTTTCCGGAACACCAAGCCAGCGCTTGGGTTCACTTCGGGAAGTCCTATGGAATTGCAGATGAAACTGTCGTCAGTAAAGTTGATGTCAGCCGGTTGAAATGTCTGGGAGTAATGTTCAGCCAGAAGGTTGGCGGCGTCGCCATCGTTGTTGGTCGGGCCGTTAAGACCTAGCAGTTGAGAAGCTCCAGTTTTCGCTTGACGAAGAAAAGCTGCGTAACGGAATAAGCTTTTAGGATTAGAGGCAAATTTGTCCATAAGCTTTGTCTGGTACTGAAGCCTGTCTTCTCTTATAGCCTTCGTGCATATGTTCCTTATATGTTTATATTGCCTATACGCTCCATCGTTATTAGTTCGTTTGTATTCCGCCCAACAGTGCCGTTTGCGGCTTAGGAGGCGAAGGGTACGGTCCTTGATTACTGTAGGTGGCTTGCAGCTTTTGGGAACCGTTTGAGAAACTGGATGGTTTGTAGCACATAAGAGCGTGTGCAGTAAGAAGTCCCAATGACCATCCACATCGAGTTGAGGGTGAACATCCCAATTAACCTGTTGTTGACAGTCGTGTAGAGCTGGCACATTCAACCGTTTAAAATTCCAGTGCAATTTATTGGTGGGGGACCTTAGCTTCGTTTTGCTTGCAAAACTGGAGGCTATGACGGCATGATCGCTTTTCCCCAGAGGAGCCAGGATTGAGAGGTTGTCAACTAGGAATTTTTCGTTTGTGAATACACAGTCTAAGCGCGATGGTGTCTGACTGTTTCTCCAACGAGTTGCCGACCTCACATTTTCGTATAATCTCAAGTCATCGATGAGGTTGAAGAACCGAGCTTCAGTTGGTTTATCGCCTCCAGTATACGTGTGATCCGCGAAGTTGACTCTAGGGAGATTAAAGTCTCCTAGAATCAGGATGTGTGTGAAACCGAGACGAATAGAGCGGGATAGTCCTTCCAGCATACGACTATCGTACTCGATGTCGGCAGTTGGCTTCCTGTAAATGACTCCGACTAGACACCTCGAAGTACTAGACAATCTAACAGAGCACCATATGGATTCCTCAAGATTGTTGAACTCGAGGTTATGAACGCGGTGAACCTCCAAGTAAGAACGTATGTGTACGGCTACTCCACCCCCGATTCCTGATTTTCCGTCGTTGCGAAACAAAGACATCCCAAGTAATGCCAACTCTTGGTCCGAGAACTGAGAAGATATTCAGGTTTCAAATATTCCTATCAGAAGGGCCTTATTAGCGTTGCTAAGTTCACGTAATTCATCCAATTTGCTTGGTAGATTCGCGGCGTTCATATATAAGCAGTTTATGCTTTCAATTTGGAACGCGTGAGCTTCTTCCTGTTTGTCTGTATGAGTCTTAAATGGATGTACAGGTAGCCAACCTAAATGAGGTTTGCTGAGGTGGTAGGCCCTGTCCTTTACACGTTTTTTAATCATCTAGACAGTCCACAAGTGGAATGGTCAGCTCCATCTTGCCTTTGTGTTTGGTCCTATCTTCGTATGGCCTATCCGGATGCACTTGGATTCCAGGTGGAGATCGACGTCTGTTGGCACGAAGTGCTTCCAGAGTCGCAGCCGCCACGTGGGAGGATGGGGAGGTTATCTTCATTAAACGCGGTCTAGGATCACCATCCTTCTTGGCTAGTCTCGTCACGTGCTGAGTCAATATGTTTTTGAGCCCCAAGGACTGTCTAGTGAATTTCCATTCCTCGATGTCAGAATTTGGTTGAGTAGGGTCCGTATTTTCCGGTATACCTTGCACAATTATGTTTGTTCCTCGGAAAAACTGATCGCGAGATTCTTTAGGGGTGTTCCGTATGATATTGCGCTCTGAGTGCGGTATGTCGGGCAATATTCTTACGTTCACATCGGATTTCAGCAAGTGACTGGCTAGCAAGACGTCCTCTACGTCGGTAGCATTCTTAGGTGTTACTCGAAGAAGCCTCGGGTGAGTTAGATGCTTAGAATCCTTTCCCCGAGTGAGCCATGTGGCTGTCAAAGGCTCTATTCTAGGAAGTTCGAGCTTCTTGTTCACTTCACCCCAGAGCATCCTATCATTTTTTGTCCTGCAGACTGAGAGGAAGGTCAGGATTGTCAATGAGATTCATGATTATGAGAGAATCGTCACGAACTGTTGTTGATTTACCAGGTTCCCGATGGGTTCAGGTTTTCTAACTTGTTGTTTGGAGGTCAAGGCACGTTTTTGAATCTTGGGCTCTTTGATGACCGGACGAACATTCTTGGGGGCAGACTGTGCGACCACATCACCAGTTGACTTCCGTTCAACATCTGGGATGTTCAACTTAGACTGTGACGCCTGGTCCTTTTTAGCTCTTTTGACATGGGTTCAATCACCTACAGAGTTTTTGGGAACCACTGTCGCGTTCAAGGACCTTGAACTGTGATACCCGAGCTTGCTGAGGGAGTCGAGTACCATCATCGTAATCATGGTGCTGACTTTGAGCGTGTCATTATTAATGCTGTTGCATGCTCCGTCGTTGGTAGACCTGTCGACATCCCTGTTCTCGCTTTCAATGCGCTCTCTTGTTTGTCTACCCATTTTTCGACTGTCTATTCACAAGTTTGCCGACAACTTACTCTTCAGACTTGTCAGTAGGACAATGATATTACTCAGCAAAACTACAGAATCCGTGCTGCACGTAACACGTTCCCACTTATGATCCGACTTGCTGAGTCTGTTGTAAGCAGTTGCTGTCAGATCGATGCACGCTTCATGGAAGCAACCTTTACAGTTGTCGCACTCCATGCCAGTTGTAACAGGAAAACGGCATTCCGGACGTTTGCATAAGTTTTTAATGACTTTGTTGAGGCAAACTATGTTACAGATGCTTGCAAAAGCCTAAGACCTTTAAAAAAACACTAAAAAGCACACTGAAAACGGACAACAATTGATAAAAACGAATGAGATAAATTGAATCAGTCTTTATGTGAAAAACAAAAAAACCTAATAGTAATCTGAGGCAACACCATAGTTAACTATTAAATATGGTGAAACTCAAAAAAGTAATCTACCGAACGTATAGCTCAGGGTAGATTCTCTAGAACTGAAATGGCACTTTTGTTGCGTAAGAACACAGCAAAAGTTTGATAAATGCAAATCACGTTAGGACTGAACTTCCCGTTCGAAAAGCGCGCGGAAGAACGCCTCCATTCACTAGACCTTTACCCATTATAGTATATAGGCGTCTTAGAGGTGATTTATTAATGGCTTATAGTATTCTTAACACTTCTGGACATCCTCTTAAACACCTACTTAAGCTTAGTTCGAATAATAACCTAGGCGGTAACACCTAGAAACTGGAGACACAACATAGTAAAACGCAATGTAGACATAACTTCTATTCCTTAATAGTTGTCAAATGCTGGAACTAGCTGTCAGCCGATCTAGTCCAAGCGACTTCCCAGGAGTCCTTCTAGTGGCAACTTGACCTATTCTTAAGGACCAAGGACGGCATCATACTATGATTTACCAATTTCTTTTCCATCTTTTATTGCTAACAACCTAGGTTCCTGTCTGAAGAATAAGGGTGATCCCCTGCTACTAGACACGGAATCCTGTTAAGCGAAAGCTTCTTCTATTCCGTCCACAACCATTTGAACCATTTGAATGGAATCATCAACGAGTGAATTCATCTTCTCAACACATGATAGTAGCTCCATCTGTTGACTCTTTGAAACAAAGGTTCAATCAACCGAGAGACCATAATTATGAGAACCAATACAAGTCATCAAATCTCCTGTCCTTCCTAAACTGAAACCAAAACTGAAAACTGAAACTTCAGATATTCAAAACAGCCATTTTCACTAACCGCTGAAGGTCACTAAAGACGGAAAGGTGGTTAAATCGTTCGTTTTCTAGTCATAGTCGTTTTGCGTCTCGTTCGTCCCAATGCTTCATGAATTCGCTGGTTGGTATAGAAGGTGGCGATTCGGTGAAGGGACACGTATTGATTTAGTTTTAATTGGCCCACCAGGTAGTGGAAAAGGGACTCAGGTAAATCTATATTAATCTATATGTACGAGTTTGTAGGCAGTCAAAATAGCTGAACGTTATAAAATCTGCCATTTATCTACTGGTATGCTTCTGTGTTTCTTTGAAAATTTCTTTAGGAGATATTCTTAGAGCCATTATAGCATCAGGATCAGAACTTGGTCAAAAAGTACAGAAAATTACGGAATCAGGAGGACTTGTTTCAGATGACATCGTTTGTGACCTAATCGCACAAAAAATCAATTCTCCGGAATGTAAAAATGGACTTCTATTCGACGGGTTTCCACGCACACTAGAACAAGCCAAAAAAGTATGTTCATGAGGTTGCATATGCAAACTGCAGCTTGATAACCTTCTTAGAGATCGTCAGATTCATCTGTCGGCTGCCTTGGAATTCAAGCTCGATCCTACCATCTTGGAAAAAAGGATTTGTGGCAGGTTATTCCACTTAGCTAGTGGTAGGTCATATCATGAATTGTTCAATCCCCCGAAAGTCCCCATGGTAGATGACGTAAGTTACATTTTCTTAATAATATAAATGTCTACTTATCGTGCCTAATAGATAGTTCTTAGGTATATTGTTGTGTAAGCCTTTTGATGTAGACAATCGAGTTATTATTTTAGTCTTGATTGCACGCACTATACGTATATTTCAACGTAATCAAATAGATAACGAACTAAATTATTCAAACTACTTTTTTTGTCTACCCTGGGTTCTGTGCTTCTGAATTCCTCAAGTTTTTTATTTCTCTGATTTACGTTTCTTTGATTCGTTACTTCAATCGTCAATATTTTCTATTGCCAGTGGTACTGATACCGTTTCTACTACTATGGTTCACCCTAGCAATTTCGTCCCGCTGTGCTAGTAGTGTATGGCAACCTTAGTCAATGCACATACGCACCAGGTTGTGCGTTGAAATTGACTGGTCTGAACTTTTTTTCAAGTTGTCCTCGTGAAGGTTCGTTAGCTGGTGTTATAATGTCTTTCGACTCCTAATCTTTGAGCTAATTGCAACACTGACTTAGTTAAGGCTCTTTAGAGATCTTTTCTCTTACTTAGAATTTCCGCCGTCATGTCTGCATTGGTCTTCATATGGTGGCAAAGTGAACGGATAGGTGAGATAATCTGACCGTTCAAAATGCATTGTGGTAATATATCACAGTCTATAAAGCTTCATCTTTTTGAATTACCGAAATATCATATCTTTTGCCTTTTGTACGTGAAGAACTACCCATTCATTCTATTCTATTGTATTCTAGTGGTCATGTTTGATAGTCAGATTTCCTTTTGTAATGTTATTCGGGTGTGCTCGAGATCGTTTGTACCTAACATCATATGTTAGATGGTATTTAGGACCGCTCCTTATCTCATCCAATCCTTTTACTAAGGACTATTGTCTCCAGTCCATGTGTTAAGATTGGTAAAATTATGGATTCTACAAGTTTTGTTTCAGTATTCCGACTCATACCATTAGCTCGCCATACTGGACTTATTTTTATTGTGGTATGTTTAGCTTTTATCAGGTTGACATTATTCGTGTCACTAGGGTGACCTTCGCTTCGAACTATCGATCCCAGGTACTTAAGAGAGTTTGCCTCCTTTATCGTGCTATCACCTATGGTGACTGGTGAGTTATTGTTTTGTGTGTTTATAATCATAGTTGCCGTATTTTCGTGAGAAATTTTCATACAAAGTTAACTAAGGAAGTTTTGTAACAAACTCAATGTTCTTGTTTCGTTAGTTAATGTTGGAATTAGTCATAAATCATCTGAATATGCAATATATGATATTTCTTAGCTCATATTTTGAATTTATCAGTCATTTTAAGGCCTCTAGTGTTTTGTCCTTTGGAGGAGCTTAGGACATTTATTGTAAGACAAGATTAAAGAGTGGTTGATCATCCTTACTACCTTGCTTTACCCCTCTATGAGTAATGAAATATGAGTTAGTTCCTCCTAAACGACGTTCCAGTTCATCGAAAAATCCTATTATGCATTGGTTTATGTTTAGCTGGGAACATATTTTATTTAAAGTGTTTTGAATTAGTTGTTTAGATGGTGTCGAATGCTTTAACTAGATCTAAAGCTTTGGTACTAGTTCTTGGTTGGTATCCAGGTCATTTTGTACTATATATATCATTGATTCTGTTGCCACCACCGTGGAAAATTTGCTTCGTAAATTGAATCGCCTAGACGGTATATTATGATTGGTGAATTTGATTAGTCGTTCACATATGATTCCAACGAATGTTTTTCCTATGGTATCTATTAGGAACATACTGCAGTCGTTATTGAGGTCTGTTTTGATCCAGTTGTTCATATAGACAATGGTTATATTGTCATCTATCAAGTATCTTGGTATTTTATCTGGGTTTGACCAAAGCACGTTCATTATTCTTCATTGTTTATACTTCGGTTTTCTTCACACCATACTTATTCATTTCTATTGTTATCCCGTTATTACCTGAAGAATCCTTATATTTTATTTGCCGTGCTCTTTTCATAGATGTTTAGAGGTTCTGACCCAGCTTCATTATAAGTTCTGCTTTCAGTTAGGCTTACTTCAATTCCATTAAAGTCCTTGGTAGTGATCGTTTGGGGTGATATCAATCTTTTGGCTTTGTTTTACTGAGTGTCGAGGGCTCGGTTTATAAATATGACCAGTCTATCTCGGAGAATGCTATTCATCTTGACGTAAGCGTTCTTCACGTTTAGGTATTAGGTCTTGTATGGTAACTTCACCTTTTTCTGGACTTGGTTACGTTTATTTTGATAACAACATATATAAGCGAACAATATTGTTTTCAATGAGATCCTCATCAGGCTTTAATCCATTATACAGTAATATTTATATACATATGTGAATTATTAAACCAACCAAGGCAGTTCATGAGCCAATGATAAAAGTGAAATAGATTACATAACTGGACATAATAAGTAAGAAGTTTGGTAATTTCATATAATCATATAAATAGTACTGTATATTGTATTAAAGCCTGGTGAGGATCTAGTTGAAAACAGTATTGTTTGTTTATATGCGTTGTTCTAATTCATAATATTGGAATTTTTAAAGTTACTTTGGTCAGTTTGATTAATTAGCCCTTTCTTTAGCTTTCTTGGTTTTTTATCTCCTGTTTAAGAAGTCTATATACTTCCGCCATTTTTTGTTAATTGCTTAACCGGGGGTTTATTTGAGGATACCTTTTGCAACATTAAGGATATTGGTTTCTGTCTGGGCTAGGTCAGAGTGTTCTTCTAGAGCTGTCTCAAGTACTTTAATTTATGCGTCTAGTTTTGTTTACATTGTTTCTGATGCTGTATTTCGTTTTTTGTGGTATATATGATGCTTAGAGTTATTATGATTCAGCATCTTAGCCATTGATGTTGCAGTGAACGAAAACATAGGTGGGGACAACCAAGGTATTTTAATACAAAATTACAGAGTATCTTGGCAAAACATATGAACCATGCACTGAATAATTCATTTGCAAATTTCCATCATTTGTCCTTCAAATTCCGCATAATTCTACAAGTTCACAATTCATTCTCATTTTCCCTTCTATTCTCTTCAACTTGATTGTCTTAGTCTTCTGCTGCCAGGTTTTCCACGTCCGGTTGGCGTCAATACGACTTATATCGACAAATATAAGTAGCATACACCACCACCATAGTGGACAGCCTTGCCGGACACCACTTGAGATTGCAAAATCAGATGACAGTTCGCCATAAGCTCTGACTCAACTCTTAGTGTTCGAGTAAAGAGACTCCATAATGTTTATGTACTTCTAAGGTACACCTTTCAATGACAGACTGCTACAGAACCTCTCGGTTTACAGGGTCAAATGCTGCTTTCAAATAAAAAAACTGATTATCGGACGCCTGTGTTCTAAGATCTGACAAATGGCGATTATGTGGTCGATGCAGCCACAACCAGGTCTGAAACCAGCCAGTTCACGAGTCTTCGTAAGGCGTCCGATAATTATTGAGGCTAGTATTTTAGATGCCATATTACTCAAACTAATCCTTATGTAGTTGTCACAGGATGATTTTGACCCGTTATATATTGGGACAACTAGTAATTGTTACCGATTAGATGGGATTACATCTAACTCCCAGATTTTAGCTAAAATTGGACCACAATACTTGAAGACTTATGGAGTCGATCCTTCTGGACCAGGTGATCCCCTAGTTTCAACTTAGTTATAGCTTTCTGAACTTCAATTAGAGTCGGGGGATCTATCTCAATGTTCCATTCAGGCTGCTTGGAAATAGTGGCTAGCTTAAGACCAGCTGAACTGTTCTTTAAAGTGTTTTGCTCATCGTTCTAAACGTCTGGGAGCAGATAAGGGTGTCGTCTCTTTCTGAAATCGTCTCATTTAAACTTCACTTTTTAATTCCAGTATCTTGTACTAGTCTGAAAAGCTGTCTGGCGTTACCTAAAACTGCTGCCTTTTTCGTCCTTTTCTTTCGTTGCCCACTGCTACTCACAGCCGTTCCTTAGACTTTTGGTTAACTTTAATTTGACTTCTTTACGCTCTTCATCATGTTCAGAGCCTGGTAGAGTGAGTTTACGAGAATCTATCAGTGCAATAAACTGAGTAGAAATCCATTGGTTTTTCGTAATCCTTTGGTTCAAACCACTACTAAATGTCACTGCTGTTTCCACAGATGTTTGTATATCTTTCCAAGCAACATCTGGGTCAACCTGGTTTTCAGAACTGCCTAAGTGTAACCTCAGTTGTTCCTGGAATCTGCTGTCGGCTTCCTCGTCACTGAGTTAAAGTCTAATGAGTCTTCTTAATGTGCATTCCTGCGTCCAGAGAGGCGCAAGCAAATGCGTGCTCGCTATGTTAGACAATGTCTCTTCTTATGGTTAAAATTAGTATTTGTTAGAAATAAATGGTTGCCTGAACATAGTTGCAACAGACAGTCACCATTAACCGTTCTTTGAGCCGAAACAGCAAGACATCCACTTAAATGTCTTTCTGTTTGTTTTAAGCTACCTGGGTATTAAAGTCACCTGTGAGTATTATGTTTGAGCGTTTAGCTTTATGAAGAAGTTCCGAAAGATTTCTGTAAAAGTCATCTTTCACTTCATCGGGCTCCAGTCAGTAGGAGCATAGGTAGAAATGACGAGAAGGCAACGATGTGTGTCAATATTTTTCCGAGTTCCTACAGAGGCGTTTATCCAAACAGCACATTGACAACTCTTAACGAGGATCCATTCCAATAATGCTTGTTATGCCCTCGTACTTAGTGCTATACCTACACTCGCCCGTCCACGAGAACTAGCCATCGGGTCGCCAGGTACACGGAGGGTGTATCTCACCGGCTCCCGGTTTTTGCGAGGTGAGGTCAAGTGTTCCGGAAACACAGCATGCATCAGTGGTGCAAGACTCTAGGGTTTTAGCCAAGGAGGCTTGCTGGCTGATTTGATATAGGTTGCGTACGTTGAAGACTCCAATGTTTAGTTTGGGGCGAGGTTTGAGTAAACCCGGGACAGTGTTTCGTGCACTATAATCGTTGGCCATAGTGAAACTTGAGGAGGAAGTGTTGAGTTGAGTCGACATAGGAGGAATAATAGGAATTGAAAAGGGAGATTACAGCAATCTTGAATGCCGTCAGAGGTATGAGGGCGGTTATTACTTCCCGGTCGCTCACATCGTAGAAGGGTTTTCCTGGAGGTGCCTGATAAGGAAATAGGGTTAGTGGTGGTCTTAGTGACCTGAGAGCGCGACCGTAGTACCCAAGGGACAACTGCTTGAGGTCAGTCACACATGACCTTTTTGTGAGTAATTTTCGTGTTAGCTCTGTACTTGTTGAGACCTTACCACCGGAGACGGATATCCATGGGATAAGACGAAGTGTTCATTTTTAGGGTCGACCCATACTACAGGAAAGTGCAATTTTTCCCCCAAGGCAATTTCTTACTCTTCATCGTATGTAAAGATCTTCATGAATCCGGATAAGATTACACAAAGGTATGCTGGACTGTTTTTTGTCAGTGTTATAAACAACTTACACTAACATTAAATTGTTAATAAAAGTATATTGTAAATTTAGAACAACATATATAAGCGAACAATATTGTTTTCGATTAGATCCTCATCAGGCTTTACTCTAATATACAGTAATATTTATATGCATATACGAAATTATTAAACCAATCAAAGTAGCTTATAAACTACTTTGATTGGTTTAATAATTTCGTATATGCATATAAATATTACTGTATATTAGAGTAAAGCCTGATGAGGATCTAATCGAAAACAATATTGTTCGCTTATATATGTTGTTCTAAATTTACAATATGGGAATATTTCAAATTTTAAAGTCACGTGGGGATCCGATTGCATTTAAGGTACTCAATGAGTTCCTAAAGTTTAATGCTCGTCTCACTGAAGCGAAAACATCGTTGGAATTGATCCGACAAAATTTCAGAAGCTCAACGAAGTTAAGGACTTAAACATGAAGGCGGAAAAATTGCTGACTATATCACTGAAGGAATTAAAAAATAAAGGTATCCTTACTCCTGACTTAAATGACTCACTCAAGCCTACTGGATCGAACACACCGCGACTGTATGGTTTACCTAAAGTTCACAAGACAGATCTTCCTCTTCGCCCAGTTTTAGATATGTATAATTCGCCTTATCATAAAACTGCAAAGTGGCTAGTTCGCATCCTGAACCCCCTACACAAATTAGTCGTCAATAGAAGCGTGAAAGATGTATTCGATTTCATATCTAAAATGGAACATATAAATTTAAATGGGAAACGAATGATATCTTTAGATGTTGCTTCCCTGTTCACCAATGTACCATTAGCAGAGACTATTGATTTTGTGTGCCAACAACTGCAGGAAAAACAAATCAATATTGGAATTCCTGGGGTTAGTCTTAAAGAATTACTTTTAAAATGCACAATGAATGTCCATTTTCTCTTCAATAACACATATTATAGACAAATTGATGGTATAGCGATGGGTTCGCCACTAGGTCCCATCCTTGCGGATTTTTTTCTGGCGAAACTAGAAAACGGACCTCTCAAGGAGGTTATCAATAAACTGGATTTCTACTGTCGTTACGTTGATGACACCTTCATCATTGCCGATCAGAACATTAAAAAAGAACAACTACTGGAACTTTTTAATAACAAACATCCTGCTATTAAATTTACATGTGAGGAGGAAATAGATAACAAACTAAATTTTCTGGACGTTTTGTTAAGTAGAAAAGAAAATGGTTCTATCAGCAGGGGTGTGTTTAGAAAAAGTTCTTCTCCAAGCCAATACACACATTTTTTAAGCTTTGTGCCTCTTCATTATAAGAGAAACTTAGTCAAATGCCTTGCAAATAGAGCTCTTAAGATATGCTCAGTCGACACTATTGATAGAGAATTACAACACATCCATAATATTTTGATTGAATTGGGATATCCATTGGGTTTCCTGAAGAAACATTTGCGCGTACAAAACAGGAAAATAGTGACCCTGACGGCTAATAAGAAACCGCTTTTTTTGAAACTGCAATTCAATGGTGATTTGGCTAGCGATGTATTACGGGATAGATTGACTAGATCAGTAAAGAGAACGTTTAATGCTGCTAACCTCTGCCTATCGTATTCGACCCGATCGATGGTGATTCCGCAATTGAAGGATAAGTTACCTGGTTATGCCACTTCTATGTGTATCTACGAATTCAGCTGCTCCTGTGGAGAAAGCTATATTGGGCGCACTACCAGGCAACTGAACCAACGAGTTAGTGAACACCTCCCATCGTGGTTCGGAAAAGGTTACGTCAAAACAATACGCAGCTCGGTTCTATCACACTTGATCGATAGCGGTCATATAGTAGACAGAACCAAGTCGTTCAAAGTTATTTATCAGATTCCCACTAGTTTTCCTTATGGTGTTCGATCTCGTCTCTTACACATAGCAGAAGCTATAGGAATCCGAACCAACAAGCCAAGTCTTTGTGTTCAGAAGAAATTTGTAACTCCCTTATCTCTCCCTTGGCCTTAATTAATAAATGAATTTATTTATTATTCCTTTTCTAACTTTCTCTTCGTTTATTATTTTTCTTCACACCCTCCTACCACTTTATTTTCTCTCAACTATACGTTTCATGGTCCAATTATCTGAACATTTCTTATTACGTCATCTTATAATTTTATAATTGTTATCGCAGTTTCTATATTTTTCTAATCATTGACCTATTTCAGATTATGTAACATTGATTTGAACCTTTATTATTATTGCTTATCAAAACTAATGCACCTGTTGTCACACCATCAATTTGTACTTTTCACATCTTACTTATTATGTAATCTTTTCCATTGTTATCATTGACTTATAAACTACTTTGATTGGTTTAATAATTTCGTATATGCATATAAATATTACTGTATATTAGAGTAAAGCCTGATGAGGATCTAATCGAAAACAATATTGTTCGCTTATATATGTTGTTCTAAATTTACAATATGGGAATATTTCAAATTTTAAAAGTATATTGGTTTTTTAGAATATGGATTTATTCATCATTGAGTTTTGTTATTGGGCTGAACATTGAAAACTTGTTAGCACATTCAGATAAGACCAAGAAGTTAATGCTCCATAAAAATAATTCATTTTATTCTAATCTATAATTTTGATTTTTTCTTAAAATTTTCGAGACCTATTTTGATAATAGTAATCAGGATATTTTCATTGTTTTACTGGAGCAGTACACGCTTTAAGATGGAAATGAAATACTTAACAAAATATCTACTCAATTAATTACCTAATTGTGCGCCTTAGTTCTTTCTTTTTTTTTCTTAACGATCGAAATAATTTTTACTGCTTGATATCATTTGTAGATTACTGGTGATCGTCTCGTCCATCGCTCCGATGACAAACCTGAAGCTTTGAAAAAGCGCTTGTATGAGTATGAGAAAAATGCAACACCTATTTTACATTTCTATGAATCTCAAAATAAACTACTTCGAATAAACGCAAACAAAGATGTTAATCAGGTGTTCAGTGATATTCAGGAACTTATTCGTGTGAAATTAGCAGAGGGACGATAGGCGTATAAAATGTTCTTAGTGATCTTATTTTAGTGTTTAAATTAAAAGACTACTTCGAACAATATCTACCACTATACTTTCCTGGGTTTTTATTGATGGATAGTTTCCCTAAAAACAATAACCAAATTATGTGTAGTTTTGCTTTCTTGAGATTAATTTTGTGTATTGCATAATAAAGACCTCCAATTATCATATACCGTATTTTCAATCAAATTTTTAGGTTTTCGTCCGCTTCAACCCTTCACATTATTAGTTCAAAAAGAATTAAACGTTCTGCTTTCTCAGGACGTTACGTTTGTAATTACTTTACTCATTTCTTGAGGTTTATGGTAGTTCCTAGTAATTCTAAGTAAGGTTCTCCATATTGCATAAAATAATTCTTTATTGCTATTATGTTTGTAGTTACAGCTCTTGAAAGTATCATCAGCCTTGGTGAGATTTAATACCACTCCGTACCTTTTGTTTCTCGAGAGTTGCTATTTATCGTGTACTGATATAGTATGGAAACTTAGATAGAAACATTTGTGACAAGGCCCTGTGCTGATTATATCCGACTGTGTTATAATTTATTTGTATTGGTTATTTGAGTCTTCCCGTACATTTTCAGGACTGAAATTGATCAGTCTTTTTTTGGTATATGTGCATCCTGTGCGGATTGCCTCGATATTCCTATCAAGTCACAAGCGCTGATTTTCCCATTTTTAACCAATCAACTCTAGTGGATGGGCTGAAAAGACTCGAATATTCTTGTGTTAAGTTTATTTACACACTGACGTCTGGTTACTTAACTGAACTTGCTGTTTTGCTTTAGAACAAATTTATGCTCTGTCCACGTTTTGTTTTGATTTGGGGACCAGTCAAGTGGAGTTTCCGAGAATATTAGGCCGAAAGAGGAGGCCTAACAGTTATCTACGTATAAAATGTCGGTATTAAGAAATGTGAGAGCTGGCGATATACGATGTGAAATGACAACTTATGTAGTAAAAATTTTGTGACAGTAAATTATACAGTGTAAACACCTAGTCATGGGATTTAAATACGTTTCTTACAATATTTTGTGTCAGTGACAATCATTCAGTTTAAGTATTCTAATTTTTTCTATTGGAATATAATCAACGAAATTTATTCCTATCGATTACACGGGGTCGACATCAAATAGCTTCATCTGCAAAAACTAGTGTTCTCATTCTAATTGCCGGGGAAAGGAATAAAGATAAAATAGTTTCGTTCATTGTATTAAAGTCAAATTAGAACTAAATTATTAGTACGGTGCACGAACATATAAGTGAGTTACCCTAATCAAGGCTACTATTTTGATTGGTGGCTCGTTTATTGTGACCACCCAGTCGAGGTACAGTGGTTGGAATCTTAGTTCCTTAGTGTTCTACCATACTAGGCTGTAGATAGCAATAAGGCTTTAAAAAAATCTGAGGGTGAAAGTAATACCATCTGTTCTGCGATGTAATGGGAGTAAAGTGTCCCATGGAATCCTGCCTTGTCACAACAAAACGAAGGGTTTTATTCGAAAAATAGCGCACCTCGTCTCACGGACTCCCATCGCTAGCGATAAGGCTTAACAAACGTACAAATCTCAGTCAGAACTACTAGCAAGATGGTCTTGTGTGACCGGTCTCAAGCAGTCCCTTTGGCCTAGTGTTAACACTCAATGACCATCAAGACTACGAATAACCCAGTTCAATTTTCTGATAACCCACAAAGAAATATCCTTCCACAGTGTGAGAAACCCTTTGTGGCCCTCTGATCTAACTCCAATTCGATCGAACAAAATGAATATGCCATGTATATTAACGTTCCATCCTAATTCAATATATTACTCCTGGGCTACCCCTGTTTGTGAAACAGCGGTAAGAAGTTAAATACGTGTTAAGTTGGATGAATTTATTTCAAACAGATATTAAAAATGAGAAACGCAGAGAAGGTAAGTCTGACGATTCTCTTTGATCAAATGTGACTCAATATTTATAGCCAGAAAAAAAGCTAAAGATGTGATGAACAGGGTAAGCAATACACACATACCCTCATACAAAAAACAGTAAAGTTTAATAAGCGAATAATCGACAAGGTCAAAATGCAACTCAAGAAGAATAAATAAATTGATCTCTCCAGAAGCTAAAATAATCCATGTAAGCTTAAAATAGTGCTAAACATTACAAACCTTTGACCGAACTCGAGTAATCAATACTCTGTATTACCTTCTCCAATGTTAGTTCCGAGCGAAAGTTCTAATCTCGACTAATTTTGATGTTTTCTGAACTTAAGCTCAAGAGAACGATTTTATTCTTAAAAAATGTTCGATACATACAACAAAATTATGCATCGGAAAATATACCATAAGATATGTTTATAGTCAAGGTGTTATATCGAGTCGTTTCCGATTGTTATGACTGGTGGTCATCTGTTATACCTGCGTCACCAATTGTTATGTCGGAATCGTCTATCACTTATACTTGTAAAACAAGGAGCCATCGCGATTCCCACGACTCGGAAGAAAGAACACAAATACTAGTACAAATAAAGATTTATTAACCCCAAAACACGACAACGATGGCCCTAGTCGAAAATACACTCATAGATTGATTGTAAGCCTATTTCGATTGTTAATTAGGATGAAATTACATACATAAAAAATACAGTTATCCTGAGTGTCATGCTGAGCACAATTCATGTTAATTTAATACAAGAATATCGTATCTCGAACAAAAATTACAATGAGTAAAAGAACGTAATTTCGCTTTTTAATTCCAACATTTCACCAGGCCAATTTATTATTTTAGTCATGTTGACTCGTACTTTTTGTCTACTTAGTTGTATATTTAATCTAAAATGTAATAGTACAAGCTATCTAACGACATGTCGTACGTTATGTTCGCAACCTATTAAACGTTACTTTAGAGATCTGAACAAATTACAGCTCTACCTTTTTAAAAATGTAAATTATTTTAATAGCTAAATTACAGTAGGTCGATATCCTAAACACTCAAGATCATATCTTCTGGGAGTCGGTATATAAGTGTAATCATCAATAAGTGATTAGATTACAGTTACTTCCACCTTTCAAAAATTGTCTTTTGGGCTTGTATTTCCCATTGTTGATACTTATGTCTGTAGACATAAGTAGCATAGACCACAAATGTATATAGTTGGAATTTTTTATGGCCATCATATACGATAGAAGTCGTTAGTTTTGTGTATAAAGTTACTTTGATATATGGAATATGTCAAATGATATTTTATGAAGCTGTTGGATAATAATCTGCAGATTGTTGAATGTGTTGTATCTAATCATCTATTGGCTGTAAACTGTGTTAATATGACGCGTTTTAAAAGTCAGGTCTCTGATGCCACCGTTCTTTCCCTCTTCCTGTACTAAATGTTTATTTTATTGTAATTTTTAGCTTGGTTGACGTATATTGTCGTGATGGAGGTAATATTGGGGGAAGTGCAACGCTTGTGTCTAGTTTATAGATTATCTTTTGTATAATTGTACTTCTATGTTTTCCTTGTTGTAAGCTTCCAGTAAATCTATTAACTATTGTTGTATGATTTATTGTTCCTCAATTATGTACTGTTTGCTACATTCTCTGCCACTTATAGCACATCTGAGGTGCGTTGCGGTCCGATAACTCAAGTATATAGACTAATGTGTGTTTGAGATCGATGTAATGGATGCCTAAAATATGTAACGGAAGCTTGGCTGATGTCTTTTTTTATTCAGGGCCCAGGTTGGGAATCAACGGACCAATATGGGTCAAGCGAACATTACCCTCAGCCCATAGATAACTGTGTTGGCCGGCACATATCACTAGTCAAGGCTTGGGACGCTAGACATATACGGAAAAATACAAGCGGAGTGATGAAATTATAATCGGAATTTCGATTAGCGAATCTAGCAAGTGATATTTATTAACGTCTCAAATATAACAAATGCTATTCTAGTGAACTAATAAGATTTGATTTAGTGACTCTTGGATTTGTGCACAAGATTTAAACTCAGTGGGAGGTAGCTTGTATCGTATTAGGAGCTAAGTAGAAATTACCTAGATATTGTTCCTAATACGATTAAAACTGGTAGACGCTTCTAAAGTTCAATCACACATGGAATGTAACATAGCATGTTAGTTAGAATAAAAACATACTCCTGTAGTAATCGTAACTCAAAATTTATTTACTCGTTTAGTTTATCTGATGTGATTCAAAGAGTAACCAGAGTTGTTTGAGTGGCCGAAAAGTATTCTTCACCATAACCTCAACTCTAAATCCTAACCGTACCACAGTTACTGGTTCTTAACCCTAATTTTTTCTCATTTATGATGATAAATAGCTGAACATGTATTCTTATTGCGTTTTTTTTTGCTATGAATCGATTTGTAACCAAGGTATTTTTTGTGAGTGGCTGATGAGTAGCCTAAGGTCGTCAGTATAGTATGCTTTTATTCTTAATTTCTATCGTATTTAATCCACCGTGCGATTGGTTAACTTCCACTTGTTAAAAATGACCTGGACTTCATGAAATTTATTTCAGGCTAGAATGTCCATTATTTTCTGACTGTACGAAACTCTTGCTCTACTTTCTGACTTCGCCTATTATTATCATCGTTGTAATGTCTGGATAACTTTAGATTCGGAGAATTTTCTAGTAGGAAGCGCCGATATTGAAGGCATCTAAATGATCACCCAATATACGCTTATTTTTTAGTATCGTAATTGAAATATTTGGATTCATTAGAATAAATGTCGAAATGTTGTATTCATGTTCTAAACATCAGCGCGTCAATTAATTTTTCTTAGATATCACCAACTGTAAATAACCCAGATCTTGTTTTAATTAATGTATATCATTAAAGAAATTGGTTTAGGTATTTAATTTACTGAATAGGTTGTTAGTAAGTAATTTAGTGTGTGTTAGCTGAACTTTCACAAGTATGTATTTACATCTGTTTTCTGATATTTTAGTCGTTTACAATAGTTCATGTTCAAAAGAATTCATAAACGTTATAAATTTCGATGGTGTAATAAGAAGGCGTAGGTGATTCGAAAAAATTTGATGCATCCGCTAGATACATTTCTAACATTCCGATCACACATAATTATCGAGGCGTTTATGTATGAAAACTAATAAAGGTCAATTAAATAAAAGTTCAATTAATATCTACTATTTCACTGAAGACAATGGTGGATGGTGTCTCAATCTCGTGGATTGGTTGAAGTTAGACATTAACACCGTTGGATACCGGCTCAGTGGTCTAGAGGTTGTGTTTGCACGTAAGACCGATAGGTTGTGGGTTTGAGTCTCTCGGGGAGGGATCATAGATGCGCACTCCTGAGGAGTCCTGCACTAGGACGAAACCGCCATCCAATGCTTCCAGGTTTCCCATGGTGGTCTAACTTCAATCGACTCATGAACTGAACCATAAAATTTTTAAGCGATTATTGGAAATATACGATAGTCATCACATAATTTGGTAAGAATGAGGTTATCACACTCTCTAGGACGATAAAATAAATTAAAGATTACCAGATCACATATAAGGTGAAAACAAATTATTTTTACAAAAACAAAGGTTTGAACTTTCTAATAGTCTTAGCTTGAAAATCTTACAACTGTGTCCTTGACATTTTTTATACAAAACCTTGAAAGCTATCGTAAGGTCAATCCTTCGGCTATTTTCATTGTGTCTCGCTATTGAGGAGCATGATTTTCCATAACATGTGTTCATCGAGGCATGAATAAAATGGCTGTACTTGTCCCAATCAATTAATCTAAGTTAATTGGTTTTGATTTATAAATGGTTTAAAAGGTATAAATATAATCAAGTTATTCGAAATTCATAAAGCAAACATCATGTTTTTTTTTTCTCGAATCATTACCGTCTTTTAACTGAGCTATTTTTAAATTAAAAAATGTACATAGCTTTTATATCATAGTAATTATAGTATCAACACTTTACAAAGTAGCAATGATTATCATTTGCTTCCGACAAGACTATGCTATCAAGATAGAGTAATCAATGTTCAGTTTTTAACTCAACTCTTTATTGTTGTAGATTTTCGTGGAGATATAAAGTTCATCAGTTAACTGGTGATAGATTACATATATTAGTAATAATTCAACAATGCTAGAGATTTCTTTCGAATTCATGTACTGAATAATATAGAAACTTTTACATTCCCACAATTTATTGCTTGGATATTTCACTGGCTGGACTATTAGAATACTAATTACGTGAAGTAAAGACTAACACTATTGATTACTACATACTTCTGATGAGAACTTAGTAAGATAGTTACTAATTATTCGTGTGTGATTCCGATTGGAATTTTGAAAAATACTATGTCACAAATTGTATGTAGTAAGAAATTCAAACCATGGGATGCTAACTCAGAAGTCCAAAGGTTACATCTTCGCTACAAGGCTTGCATGTTCTGGATTCGATCCCTAGTAGGGCAGTGAATTGACGCTGTTGAGAGGCATCATACTGGGATGAAATAATTGTAAGATGCTTCCTGGTTTTTAATGATTGTCTAGTTAGTTATTTCATAATGTAGACAAAAAGTATGAAATCTATTCATTTTTGTTCAGTGCATAATGAATCCATTTAGAAAAAGCTCAAAAGTCTACTGTACTGTGTTTTGAAATAAACTTTTTAACATTCATTCAATTAAAATAAATTCGATGAAATTCTTTGGAATTTTCAGCAGAGATTCTGTATTAATTAGCGACTAACTGACAATTTCTTAATAAAACTTATGCTAGTCAGAAAACGAGGTGTATGTAAGGAATTGTGAAGGTGGTATTTGACCTTGCATCAACCATATAAATAACTCATATCTTACGATTTATCACAGAAACTAATTCTTTCAAGTATCACAAACATCCTGAATCTAAACAAATGAAAATTCAAACACTTATTATTTATTTATCAACTTTTATGCTAAATAAAGATTGTAATTAGTAAATCAAAATATGTATGAACTAGCACATATGCATATTAGACTAAGTTAATGCACTACAAATCAACATCTTAAGAGAAATGAACAAGATAAATTGTAAATAGTATTAACAGATAGTATCGATGAAAGTCATAAAAAGCTAATCTTATAGAATTATAAAGTAACTCATTTATTATAAAACTAATAAAATCTTGTGGAAGATTTGAGACATGAATACATCAATGCTACAACAACAACATCTACTACTACTAATACTAACTTTGGTGTTATGTTACTAATCAATAAAAACTTGATGATGGCAAATTCTCTCTTTGACCAAATAACAACTTATATGAAATCTAGTGAAAATTCCCATTTTGACCTTTGGTAAATATAGAAAGGACGAATCGAGCGAGGGAATTTCTTTTCATCAGTTTAGGGGTTGTGGAGATCATGAACTGATTGATGTTAGGCCACCATTGAAAACCTGGAAGCAATGGACATTAAAACCATTGGATGCCGGCTCACTTGTCCAGTAGGTTAAGCGTTCGCGCGTGAGACTGAAGGCCCTGGGTTCGAATCCCGCGAGCGGGATCGTGGACGCGCACTGCTCGATTCGTTCCTTCTTTATATGAAATCGCTAATTTTAAAAGCCAACCAATGGAATAAGGTTTTTCTAAAAGATTGTTATAATTACAGCTCTATAGCTACTGGATTACAATTCAGTGTCTTTAATTTTCGGTTTAATGAAATTACTATCAGCCCATGAAATATCAAATAGTATAAATCATTTATGATTACTCAAAAAAGTCATGTATCAAATCTTACTAGGTCTGAATAAACAATATATACTCGGAAACGTGTACTGTTTGAAGGGTGAATCGTTGTAGTTTATGATTTGTCCCCATAAAATATAAGATATTCCTGTCGGGTTAGCTTTTAATTGTTCTTCATAACTCTTTAAAAGGCAAATGCAAGGTAGTGGTACTTATTAATCTGAAACGTTATAGGGAAGTGCTTAAAATTTAAGTCACTAATGATACTACTGTAACGAATTAAAATAACCCATAGTGTCACTGAATAAGAAATAGAATTCAGCGAAGAAAATTTTATGCACTGCTGGGGCATTGGCAATCCACGAACTCAAGCCCGAACTTTGCGCGCAGAAACGATTCGTCCAACCTCTCATCCTTCCTTGACCTTAATTCCCTTTATTGGTATGTTCCGGGTTTTATTTCTGCACTTTTATTTGATTGAATTTAAACAGTTGGGATCATGAGTCAATTGAAGCTAGACCACCACGGAGAACCTGGAAACAATGGACGGCCGTTTCGTCCTAGTACGGGACTCCTCAGCCGTGCACACCCACGACCCCGCACCCCGCGAGATTCGAGCCCAGGACCTATCAGCCTCGCGCCAGGCACCTAACCAACTAGACCACTGAGTCGGCATCCAACAGCGTTAATGTCTAACTTCAACTAACCCACGAAATTGAGCGACACATCTACCATTGTCTTCAGTGAGTTACTATCTCACAACGGACCTGGTCGAACTCCACTGGTCACTGCTTCTCACTAGGACTCCAGGATATATATCTTGAAGCCAGTTACTAGTGAGCATATGTTGATTAGTATCAGAAGGGGTTTTGTGGAGATTGTAGTAATTTAAACAGGCTTTCCATGGTGGTCTAGCTTCGATTGACTCATGATCTCAACTGCTTAAATGACTACAATCTCCACAAAACCCCTTCTGATATTATTAAATTCTTTAGATTTATAGTTTTGCAATTTTAAACTCTAATCAGTTGTTATATTATTACCTTATACAAGTTTGCTTGGTTGTTATCCTGTCTTGTATGTTTGTTATTCGTCAAATCTGACCCATAAATTATTTTCTCCCTTACCCCTTGATTATTAAGCAACCTCATTTGATATTTAGTCTCGAATCAATTTATGATGCAATCTTTTCGATCCTACTGTAGCTTTGTCCAGTATTATTTCCTA